AGAAGTTACTGAAACTTTATAGTACAAGCCGTTTTCAAGTTTTATTCCCCCCCTTCCCCTCTCCCCATTTAGCTGCTGAACTAATCTCTGAGATTTTATATTATTTTTCTATTGAATAAAGATATATTTCAAAATTTTAAGTTGACAGGTATTCATTCTTTAATAGGTTTCGACGAAAGGCAAGTTTTCCGATTCAAATTTATTTATTATTTGAGAAATGTGCTGTATGCTAGAAACTAGNCTAGGAGTTTGTTTATACTTATAGAGTTCATAAACTTGGTTGTAATAGTTATATTGGATTTAGAACACAAATATATAAAGAATACCCAGATATCATCAATATAATGATTAACATTAAGAAAACCATAACATTTGCTATAACTATCAAATTGATGGATGTATGGATTAAGTAGAAAATGTTCGTGATTATGAAGTAACTTCGATCAGTCAATATCATGGAAAAAAGGCAGGGAATAGGAAAAAAAGGGAAAGGAAATGGCGCTAGTCTGGCATGAGAAAGCCAGATGCACTGCTTTGCAGACCAGTACGGTATTCCTTACACACACTCTTTTGGTACAGACACACTACATGATCACAGTCAAGGAAATTGCAGAACAATGTTGTCAATTATAATTAAGCTTGAATAACGACTATATTTATTGTAAACTTTAATCAAGTTATATTCGTTCAATGCAAATTTGGCTTTATAGAGTTGACTTAAATATGTAAATAATATATTAGATGCATTTTAAACTTATTTTTAAGTAAACAATTAACAATAAACAAATGTACTCTGCTAGACTGTACAAATACCGAGATTCATACGTACTGTATAAACCTACAGTACACACCTTTGGTACGGTAACCTTACACACACTCTCTTGGTACAGACACTACCACACATGACGTTTCCGCCCCCTGAAAAAAGGTTTGATCAAAGCAGTTTATTTACTGGCCGCTACTTGTACCTTGGCGGTGATGCTTGTCCAAATTCTATTTTGCTTGTTGGGTAACCCTGTATATATATATATATATATGTCCCTGGTATACTTAGTAATTATAATGTATCTAATTAGTGTCTCTATTTCTGTATCTCTATAGAGTTTACATTTTTTGTGTAACAGTGTATCTATCTAAAATATACAAAACGTTTTGTATAACTGTTTTTCTAAGATTAACATTTATGAATGGTCTTTGTATTAAGCAAGGATGGTTTAACTACTTCTTTACCATTATTTCGACATACTATACCAGCTTTGTTCCAGGTTCAACGCTGGCCAAAACTTGAATGATAACAATGACTTTTTTACGCTGGGTTTCTATTAGCTATCAAGAACATTATACATAAGTATTTTTTAGGAATAATAAATAAATAAATGATAATAACACCAATAATGAACCTATGTTTCAATAAAAGTCCATAGAAGTCCTTCAAATTTAATTAAAAAAGTAATTTGGTTTTTAAAAAAATCTCAATGACAAAAATATTAAGAAAATGGAAAGAGACAATTGCTTAAAAAAGTGTTTGCAGAGCTGAAAACTTTAGAATGGTGGATATCGAATCAATGCTTAATCTCCAGGTTTTACTAAACCCGACATTAGGTTAATACGTATTCGAAATAGATTTTCTTTCTTTATTTAAATCCATATTAAGTGTCTATCTAATTATCAATACTAATATTCAAATATCTATAATATAAAACCAACCCTTAGAAATACGATCACTCTATATACAAGTGTACAGTGTTAGATACATAAACATATTGTGATGTATACAACCGACCACTCTATTAGTAAATTAATAGGGAGGTCGGTTGTGTACATCTGAGCTAAGCTTTACCTCTTCGTATTATTACTCAATGGTATTCGATGTCAAGAAGAAGTTTAAAATTCAACCAATCAGCGTATAATGTTAAGATGCGCTCTTTAACTTTTGAAAACCAGGGTTTTTTTTGCGCATTTCTGGTGTTGATGGTGTCATATCAATTGAACTAAAGATTGAATGAACGAACGTAAGTTTTGGATTAATGTTTATTAAGACTAACGTTCAAAATTACTCTAGTTTTTAAATGTGATAAAATATGTTTCTTAACAAGTTCATATTAACATGATTGAAATTATATTTATGTAAATGCTCTAAAAGCTCGCTTGTGTACGGCTAACTTTAGTTCAATCGGACATTAGTCCAATCGATATAGTATCGTATCTGTAATTGTTCTCAAAAGTTACCTTCTATACAGTAGGGGTATTCAATAAGAGAGGATTAAGAAGAAAATCAAAAGTGTGTCCATTGGATACTCAGATTAAGTAATCGGGCTTAAGGACATCTCATTCCAGAGTTTTTAGCTGAGGTTTAAAATAATTGTCATGTGTTCTCCTAGAAATGTATGCAAATTTTTTTTTATTTCTAAGACGAGAGTTTAAACAAAAAGCTAAAGACCATGACTTTCAAATAGGTTGGCAAAACCGTTACCAATCTTATTTTATGGTTATTCAACGTGAACATGGATTAGGGTACAGTGAAAATCAAAATTTTTAAAGACATTTTCCATCAGCACTTTTTGTAGAACTTTTTTAGAAAAAATTTGTTCAAGCAAATTTTTTAATTTTTATTAAATTGTTTTGATTTACATAATTTCAAACGTCTATAAAAAGTATCAAAACCGGATCAACTTTAAAGTGGTCCCAATGTCTAAACCTTTGATTTTACCTTCCTAACTAGCTCATTCATATATGTACATTTCAGAATTGTTAAGCACTTGTTTTAAATTCAGTTTTTAAAAAGTAGTTAGCTAATTTCTGATCGAATTTTGAGTGAGAGCTAGCAACCTTTGCATCACTGTGGATTCCTATAATGCCAGTTTTATGATATATAAAATCACTTAAAAAATCCCCCTCCAAAAAAATCATTTGATAAGAAACCAAATAATGAAATGTGGTTGTTTCAATATTTTCAGTTTTCTCTGTACCCTGATATGGAATTAGTATAACCGTGAATTCCAAATGGATTTATTTCTGTGAATTTGGCATGTTGGCTTTCCTATTGAATTGTAAGAAGATCTAAGGATTTGTAAAACCTTAATAAAAGTCAATTCAAGACTAACTGTTTAGTTGATGCAGGGACAAACCAACTTTAAACTTAACCTAACTCTTACTAGAGGTGAGAAGAATGAGAAGTCGATTGTAAGAAAAGTTTCCGAATACGTTTTATTTATATACTGCAAAAATATTATTTCTAATCTGTCTCCATAAAATATTANGTTTTTAATAATAATGTTTACAACTCTGCAATAATCTAAAGAGTGCAAGCTCCAAAGCAAAAATCGATCATAATTTTGCCAAACCTACCTAAAATCGAAAGAATAACCCTTTACAGCTGTAAAACTTAAAATTTTAGAGCTACTGAAAGGAATTGAGTCTTTGTAACAAACTCCGAATTTCTAGTTCATATATCTTTGCGGTCAGATGGTGTAAACCTTTGATATTTGAAACTTAGATTATTTAATCAAAAATAATTCAAATTTTGAAATATCTAAGGTCTGCGACATTGAACTGTAAAGATATAGGGATAAGAAAACCAGAGTTTGTGGCAAAGATTCAATTCCTTTATTTAATTTAAATTGGTTTATACAAAGCTGCCTAACCCCATTCGTGAAACCCGGGTTTTAAAACTGGTTTTCATAATGATAACCTGTATTAAGTTTTTGGCTCAGAGATAATATCGCTTTCCTATTCCATAGTTTTATGGATTTTACTGAGTTACCGCAGTTTCCTAGTTTCCTACAAATGCTCTGACCCACTTTTTAGCATTTTTTTCTTAAATACTTTTTTTCGGTGTATACGTGTTGAATGAAGAAGTATAGAATAAATAAATCCGTAAGTTGTAGAGTTGTCGAATTTTAGACCATGAACATGTTTGATTTCAAATAGAAGAAACCAAATCCTCCTCACTCTGGTTAGTCCGGGGTGGGACTCACTTTCCATTTTTGGATTTTAACATTTATACCTTTTAAAAAAAAGAGAAAAACTAAACAAATATGTACACTTTTTCGTAAAAAGTACTCATTTTTAATTTTGCCAAATTTTTTCTACAATTATTTCTTAAATCCACACCAATTAAAGATTTTCATCAATAAAACTATGAAAAAAAGCCAAAAATTCACCTGCATTTTTTTGCAAATTTAACTTCATAAGCCTGTATATTTTTTCAAAATTTGTAATGCAACAATTTAAACATAAAAATATTCGTATTTTTGAAGATTATCTTGTTGATCCAAAGAATTGTATTATTCGTCATTTCTGGCTATTATCCACCCCCTTGAATTTGATGTTTCTTAAAAGAATTATTTAAATATTGCAATCTATATTTTATGATAAAAATAACGTTTAAAATACAAAGACTGGGAAACATAAGGTTTTACAGATAGTACAAATTCCATAATATTTTCTTAATAAAAGAACACTTTTAAAAGAAAGTTTATTATTTCAACATAACATTTAGAAATTAGAAATTGTAGACGTGATCTCAAGAAACCCTCCATTTATAGAGCGGCATGTCCGATTCACAAGCAAACCCTTTAAACTCTTATCTGATCAAACACGACGTAGATATCGTATTTTTTTATATTTTAAATTCGATTATCAAACAAAGAGATTTCTACATATGGTGGGTCTGTTGAATACACGTCTACACTCTACAGTCCTTTTATACAATTTGATTAAATAACGATTGTCCCAGGTTGGTAGACAGTTTTATGTTTAGTATATAATAATTATTTTCTCTCTAAGCATTCAGTTTGTTCATAAAATTTGAAATAGGGTCAACGCACAATTAGATTATAATAACATTGTTAACGTAATATATCATCAACTTAACAACGCATATTAGTATCACTAATATTTAATGATTTTAATAATTCTAAAAAAAATCATTTTAGAATTTTTAAATAATCATATTATTTTATCGTAAAGAATTTTGAAAAACTTAAAAGAACCCAACAATTTTCAGAAAATAAAAAAACTACTACCTTAAAAAATTATACTTAAACAATTTATAAATTCTTCCAAATATTTAACCAATTTTGGTGTTTAAAATTAACCTATTTATAAAAAAGCTGTGTTGTATTTGCCATGTAAAAATTCATAAAAAAAGCAGCATTAGTGTGCATTTTCAAAAACGATAATTGTCAAATTGCAATTTGACAAAATAATTTTCTATAATGAATTGTAAACGTTACAGCAATATCATTTCTGTTGTACGGTCAGACAATGTATGGTAGTATTTTTCAATCTTTTTAACTTGAAGAGATTCCGGTTCTGAGAGATGCTTGGAGGCATTTTTATTATCAGCATCACTGGGTGGATTCACCTCATTTTTAGAAGTTTTATCAATTAGAGGAGAATTGGCTGTTATTCCATTTTCTTCTTCGTTTATCGGAAGAAAATTGACACCTAGGGATAAAGAAATTATTATTATGAGACACATTTGAAACTTTTTTATTGTTTAAGCTCATTTACTCATTATTAAATTGAACTGGAAACTGAATAAAAACATTTTCATATTTTCAAATTATCTTTCTTGCAAATTGTGTTAAAATTGCATTAAATGGAAAAGTTTGAAAATTATTTTCATCTTTATTTTTAAACGTATCGAGAATATTGACTAACGAGACATTATAATAATAAACCACCACCATCAGTTTGCAAAAATATAGAAATTATGACTTTGAGGCAAAAGTTCAGTTTCTGTTTCTATTTTCCTTCACATATAAATCTAAAGCTGAGGGGCCAAGTTTATGTTTATGTTTATGTTTATGGAACGACTCTGTTACCTCGTAAGTTGGAGCCCATCTAGTTTTGATTAAAGTATGAGAAAGTCTCTTTAAAAAGTAGATTAAAAATTCGTAACATTTCAATTTGAAGAGACTGTAAGTGTTTTTTTAACTGACCCTCCATTCAAAAATGTCAATGCCCAACTCACAACAGTACCTTTTAAACCTTTATCTAAAAAAATGTCGAAAGTATTGCCGTTTTTTTTGTTTGAATTTGTTTTTTGCATTATAAAAGCGGGCTTTTATAATGATAAACCACAATTGAAAATAATCAGTTTTCAAAATTTTTAACATTAATATAAAGCTTTAAAGGGAACCGTTGTGAATCGCTTAATGTCCCTTTAATATGAAATTTTTCTTTAATTTGTAATTCTTAGTTTATCATTTAGTCATTTATGTAAAAGGTTAATTAACATAAAGAAAATATAAAATTAAGTGTTTAAAAAGGAAATATTTATAAAGCATTAGGATTAGAGGTGATAATAATAAAAATAAAAATAGTAAAAAAAAGTCACGCTTTTATCTTTTACACTTAAAATTGATTGGTGGTGGATTGATAAAGTTTTCTGTGATTGACTCATAAGATGAGGGCAAACATAGCTCTCAATCTCTAAAGAGACTGTAGACATAATTTTAAGCTACACTCCAAGTGAAGTAAAAAAACCACTCTTTAAACTCTATGATCAAAAACACTTTTTTAAAATAAACATGTTAAGTTCCCTGCCGTTCATGAACAGTCATAGGTTTAAAGGGTTGCGCTGTCAATTTGGTATGTCCTTCTTTGCGTGAAGGCTCACTTGAACATACGCTTACTGTCCCTTTATAAAGTGAAAAAATACCATGTGTGGTTTGATGTTGATGGTGATGAGGAGGAGGTGCTCCAGGTTGAAGATGAGGATGAGGAGGAGGTGCTCCAGGTTGAAGATGAGGATGAGGAGGAGGTGCTCCAGCTCCAAGTTGAGGATAAGGAGGAGGTGCTCCAGCTCCAGGAACTGCCCCAATACTAGCCATCATTGCTAGTATGCCCATCCCAGGCTGGGGGCCCCCTGGTCCTACAGTTACCATATTCGCACCAACACCAGACAACCCCAGCTCCTCTACCATACACACACAATTTATGTCGGACAAAAATTTAGATTTAAGTACAAAAATGTACTTTTCACTAATCCTAAATTTTTGTTAAACGGTGCAATTTAGTTAGTTATGCGAACGTCTAGAGAGGTATTCTTTTTTTTGTATTTTATTTTTATAATAAAAAAGTTTATTAAAAGCTTTTCAGAAAAAAATAATGCAATACCAAAAAGTTTCTTTCCGACAAATATGAAACCAGATTACCTTTATATTGAATAAAACATGCTTATTCTGTAAAAAAATTATTTTGGAAGGGGGTTTTTAATAGATCTATTTTATTTCTAAATATTTAAAATAATCTGTAAACCGAAAAATTAAAAATCTCGATCTTCTAATGATTTTAAACTATTAAGGTGTCAAAAAGAAATGGGTTAGACGTTTTCCTAAAAACTTGTTAAACTAGAAATTCTAAAGCATGTTTATTGTTAATAATGCGCATTTTTGCAAGAGTCAAAAATGCCAGCAATGGATTTTAATGTTTAAAAATGAGTACATTTTGAAAAGATTATCAATGTGGGTAGCATTAAAAACCAAATTAAATCAATTTACAGGAATCGAAAACATTGTAAATTGACCGAAGGTTAAAAATATTTGTTAAGTGCTGAATAAAAACAATATTATCAAAAAACTTTTAGGACCTTATCTTGCCTAATTTTCAATACTTTTCCATTCTGTAAATTGTTTTTAACTCGACAGGTATTCATGATACTCATATGTTTTTCACATTTTTCATTTTAACTCAAACTGTCAAACAGTTAATTTTTTTACATTTTTTTTTTGAAAATACATTTAGAGGATTTAGAGGCAGCCATTTTTTATTTTTCTAAAGGAAAATGTTAGACATACATAAAAATATCAAGAGGAATACAGTTTCGATACTGTAAAGTGGTTTTAGAAAAATGGCTGAAACAAAAATTAGAAAAATTACCCACCTAAAATTTTATATTCTCTAATTTAAAAACTTTTAATAAACATTTAATAAACTAGATAGACCGTTATAATTATTGTTGTAATTATACATTTAAAATAAATACCTGGATTTCTATAATTCTAAAATATTATTATTTGACAACTTTTTTTATATTCAGCTCAGATATAAACCAAACAGTCCACTAAATGCTGGTAATTCAAATACTTTGCAACAACAAATGAAATTTTAAACTTTATGTTGATATTATACCTGAACATTTACTGAAAATATGTGTACATAAAACATACGCAATTAACATGCCAAGTATACATATGTGCAATGACAAATCAAGTGCAGGGACGTGAGTTTAGAGTTTATGAATATCGGGAAATGGTTGAATCTGCTATGACTAGTTCAACTATTTCTATTGTGCTGCCAATTCGATATAACAATATCGAATTCGTACTGGCATCACACAAAAGTAGTTAAACAAGCAGGGACAATTATTTTTTCTTTTAACGTTCATAAATTCCGATCTCATGGGGATCAAATTTAATGAATGACGAGAAGTAGGTGAAACACTTAAACTAAGTTCGAACAGTGAGACTTGAACCGGTTCACTTAAGAGAGTTGGGGTTTAGCTTCGTCGCTATTCATCAAATCTGGTCCAAACTCCAAAGTCAATTTTTTTTGTTTAACTTCCATAAAACATGAATGTGCAAAACATTGTAAATTTTTAAAAGTTTATTTCGTTAAATGCCTTAAACCCATAGTTTGGACTCCGTGTGCCAAATTTAGATCAGAGGGAGTGCGAAAATAGGGTTATTTTCAAGTAATATAGCATGTTATAATTTGAAGGAAAATTAATTTTCTGTTAAAGGAACAACAGAATAAATTTAGTGAGTATGTACAGTCTCAACTATTTTTAACTTACAAAAATGTTCAAAGAGAAACTGATCACTTGCATTTTCTAAATCTGAATATTTTTAAAATTATCTAAAGTTCTACTATTAAAACCAAGGTTTGAAATAATTTAACAATATAAGCCGGTGATGTAGATTAGAAATCCTATGTGAAATCCCATTTCCGTTTATAACAAATTCTTGTACTAATAGAAACTATAAAAATACTTTTTAAGTCATTGTAAGTTAAACAAAAAGTTTTTAATAATTCATTATAAAAAAATGTTTTCATTGGGTATCAAATAAAAGCCAATTATTTTTTCTTGGAAATATTATTAACGGATTATTTGATATTAGGTATATTTACTTAAAGAGACTGTAGACATAATTTCAATTTTTTTTTAAGGATTTTTCAAAATATAGTTTTTAGGTCTATTGTGACAAAAAACTTATGGGGTATTTTAGATTTTTTTTCAAAGACCGGACTTTTCCGCCTTGTACCCAACCCTATGCATTAAAAAATAAATGTTACAAGAAATCCTTTAAACTTTAATTCATTAAAAGTCGCAAAATTTTTACGATAGTAGTGTCAAAAATGAGAGTGCTAACACAAAAAAATACAGGGGGGCGTCAAATTCCCCCCCCCCCCGCCCCATTGTTAAATAGGGGGTCACAGAAATTACGTTTTAGGACACTTTAATAGCCGGGCAGGTGGTATTATTTGATATTTTTGCAAAGTGGAAAAATTGCCAGATATGATAATTTCCAAATGCCACTGTTTTGAATGTTTTCTTATCTTAATTATCAGCAAGTATCTTGTTAACAGTTCCACAGGTATAATCATAAACTTATTAATACTAAATATAAAACACGATTAGGGAGCATTATGGTTCCTTGCATTTATCGGATTTTTTGTTTAAGGTTTATAGGTCATGCAAATTTCTTTTAACTAGCAGTAACATCAATATAAACATGCCGAAAATAAACATGCAAAATTCCCTGTCAAGACACAATAAAAAAATGAAATGATTATTCCGTATTTAAAAAAATAGTTTTACCAATAATGGCAGATTCTCAGGTTCAAGAATCCCATTTATGTCATGGACATTTATAAGGGTTACTTAAAAAAAAATTTCTTGATTTTTTTGCGCTATGCATAACTGCGTTTCATGAAATAGTGCTTACATTGAATTTATCATAACCCGTCTTTTCTTTCCTTAAAATTGTTGCGAACATTCCCTTCGTTCTTGAGATCTTGACAGAGCATATTAACAATTAAAATATGTTTAGGTTTCATCAAGGTTGTTCATTAAGGGTGCTTACTCTAAATGCACTCCAATAAACGAAAAAATGTCGTCTCCTAAGAAATGGTCAGTGAAATCCGTAAATAACGTCACTAATCCCTGCTTTCACTTGCCTCTATAATCAGTGACGTTATGTACAGATTACACTGTCCATTACTTAGGAGATGACATTTACCTATACATTGAAGCGCATCGAGAAAGAGAAATTTTGGGTTTAAGAAATATTCTAGATCTACTTTACTACAGACAACAAATATATTTAGTTTAATTACCAAGAAGTGAATTGGATCTCTGAGGAGTTAAAGGATAAGTTTATGCTTTTTTTAAAGGAAAATATGAAAGGAAAGAAAATAAATATTTAAAAGTTAGCACTAGGATTTTGAAATGAGGTGGGTGGTAAGATGGCATTTCTCTGAATGATCTGGAGATCCACTGCTAACGTTATTGGAAAAGTCAAAGGAAATGCTAGGACGCGATTTTTTTCTAATCTGAACAGTTTCAACTTGAGGACTTGGTATGTCAGAGGGTAGGGAGCTTTGAGTAGCAAGTGGTTTTATACTGGAGTTAGGATAGGAATAGTTAAATTCTGCTGTAGCTTGTCTTGGAATAATAGGAATAGGACGAGGAGTTGGATAAGGGGAAAGGTCCCAACGAGCTGCATATGCCTCTGCCGCGGTCATGTTGGATGGTGGACCACCCGTATTGTTTCTCCCTGGACCAAATAATCAGTTTTAGTTTAATTTCATCGACTCTTCTTTTGCCAACCAGAGATTATCTTGAAGTAACTGTTGTAAATTCACGAGGAATAGACAAAAATAACTTCTGGTTGAGAATAAAAATCACTCAGACGGACATTTTTGCCTAACCAATCAATTTAATTTACTCTCTTTTTAAAGTCTTAATCAACAAACGGATGCAGCAAATACACACCTTCAATTAATAATTAAACTTGAATTAATTATGATTATACTTTCTTTTTAAAGATAGCAGCATGCATTTTTTATCTTAAACTTAATGTTTGATTTGAAAAAAAACTTCCCTATAAAATACATTGTTAGTTTAAACCGTTTCTAAAATGTCAAGGTAAATTGTTAAAATAAATCAATAATGTCCTTGACATTTGATTTTGCAATCTTTAAGTAAATTTAAAACTAAAGCTAAAATTTGCTGCACCAGAAACTACTGAGAGTTTAGAGAGAGGGACACACACATTTCAACTTGAGAGCAAGAGCAAGAAGTTAACACTGACAATTGGCATCTCTTTCAAGACATGATTCAATCTTTATCTTTAATTTTAGATTTTTAATATCCTCATCTCCCTCATCTATATGTATAGTGTATATATATATATATCATATACTTTTCTTGTCTATCTATCCGTTAGTATCCAACAAACATCAAACCCCAGCGAATATTTTAGTCAAAGTTTAAAAATTTCGTCCGGAAATAAATGTCTACATTTATCATTTTTAAAATGCGCCTATTTAAATAGATACGATCCATGGATTTGTTTGTTTAAAGATTTACAAAGAAACATGGCAGCTTGAAGAGAAACTTTTAACAGTTAATATTTGTATTAGAAAACCTAGCGTCTTTAATGTGTTTTATCAAAAAAAAGCAACGATTGTAAACAAAGATTACTAACTATTTTTTTATTTTTTTTTTAACCATTTCTTTAGCAGTGTTAATAATATAAAATCATAACATAAAATCCTACCATTCACTTAATACCAATAACATTTAATTTTTACTTATTCTAACTTTTAAGTAGGGATAAGGTCAAATTTTACTTTTTAACAAAGCTTGCCCATTATGTTTACCCTTTGTCCCAGTTACCCCGCGGCTAGGGGTCTGTAATTTTCTTTATCATAAAGATTCAATAATTGCCAGTGTTAACTTAAAAATACACACACAATAGTACCATTACAATTTACAGTAAATAAATAGCTATAAATGCTTGCAATGTAGAATTTTTTGTAGAGCTTGAAATATTTGGTTTTTAGCTAAAAACCATTTTAGAAAATTATTAAAAAATAAAAGATTAACAGCTCACAAAAATATATATATCCTAACTAAAGTATAAAAGCTACTCAGTATACTTTAACAAAGTTTTGTGTACACACTGTACAGCCTGGATGATGCAACAATTACCATGTTCTGTTTTGCTAAAAACACTTATTTGTACAATTCAATCAGCTCTGCAGATATTTACAATTTTTAATCAGATTTGCAAATTATTAACTGGATGAAAATTCAATTAATTCAAAATGCAACTAAATAACCCTTTGAGATAGATATTGATTCTTTACTATTTAAAAAGACTTTTTTACAAAAAATATAAAATCATATGCTGATCTATAGGCCATAATAATAATAACAATAAAGACAAGATCATATTCAATTGTCTTCCATGATCTTTTTTTCTTTTTTTCTCAATCAATAACGTCACTTTCAATTAAAAGTCAACAAATCTATTCTTTTCTGTTAATCATAAACCTACCAAGTTTTGAGCCCATTCCAAGCTTACTCATGTTGAGTTTACTTGTAACAGATCTAGAAGTTGACCGATTTCTATTTCTTCTGACCTCAGAGACATCAACGTTGACCACTCGTCGCCGTTTCTTTGGCAGCTTAGCTCTGGCCTAAAATTAAGTGAGACCAATCAAACTATGAAATATGGAAGAAAGTTGTTAGACGTTAGTTATGCATTGTAAATAGTCCAATTAACAGGACAAACAAAAATTGTGCAGTGTTCACAAACTCATTTTACTTAAGAAGTTAATTTTCAAACAACTAGGATTTCCAAATTTTCGTTCAATCTCTTTCCGAAAATTTCGTTCAGCCAACAAAAATAAAAACGAAAACGAAAAGTTTCGTTAATTTTCGCGAAAATTTTCGCAAAATTCGTTCGAAATTTTTTACCTTTCCCCCAAAATCTTATTTTTTTTCGAAAAAATACAATTTTTTTTATGCGAAACGGAAAATTTTTGATTTTTGATCGAACGAAAATTGAACGAAACTGAGGTCGAAAATTTTGTTCAACGAAAATTTCGATGAAAACCCAACAAACATAATATAATTTTAAACATGCATAGAATTACCGATTCCTCAGTTTTAAAGGTCTCACTAAATAAATTGTAATCCTTATCACTAGTAAATATTAAGAAGTGGAATTCTAAATGTATTCGCTTTTTCCTGTTATTAAGAAATTATTAAAAAGGATCTTGTGAATCTTTATTTGGTTATTAGATGTTTTAATTGATTCCTTCTAATGAGAGTTCTCTCATATATAATGGGGCCCAAAATTTCAATTTTCCCGGTTTCTGATTGGTCGAATTTAGGCACTTTCCTGAATACAAACTAAAGATTTAAATAATCTTAAGATTAACAAAAGATGAGATTAAGCATTGATCTCGATATCCACAGTTCTAAACTTTTTAGCTCTGTCATATTTTAGAAATAATCTTTATGTTATACATTAAACGTAAAACTGCTTACCACTGTAATATCTATCAAAAATAAAGAAGAATAAAACCTCACAAATAATTATACCATTGAAGTAAGAATTTCAAATTACAATAAACTGGGCACAAAATTTGGCCTGTAAAAATGCCTTGCATCTCTATAACATACTTTGCCTTTACGATCACTTTACTCTTTGTAAAGGGTGGGAAGCACGACAGCAAGGTCTGATTGAATGAAGCATAATTCACATGAATGTGTCATATTCTAAATACCTGTGTATGTGAATAGTACATCTCGAAGTTTGAAACAATGACAGGAACTGGAAGAGCTACAGTTAGTACACCTCCTAGAGCACATAGTGCTCCTACAAACATCCCTAGATAGGTCTTAGGAACCATATCTCCGTATCCTACTGTAGTCATGGTTACAAGAGCCCACCACAGTCCAAGGGGAATTGAATTAAAGTCATTGTGAGGGTTGGGTTGTATTCGTTCTGCATAATACACTGAACCATTCAATAAAGATAATCTTATTTGGGTCAAAGCTTAGTTAGTTGTATTGGGATTCATGATTTGTTTCTTCACCTATTGTTTGATATATTAAGTGAAGGGGCCTCTCTAATAACAGGGTAGAGAATACACAAAGTAAAAATACGATTTTTCATTGGTATGAATATGTTCAGTCCCCTTGAACCTGTAAAGAATTTCTAAGTGTACATATCTTGTAAATGTGCAGTAAGGTGCTTTTTTGGGGTTAATTGGCTGACGGCTGTGTTATATTTTTATCAAACAAAAAATCGAAAATAAACATAACATTAATTTTCATTAATACTGCACTGTTTTAGGTTCAATTCATTGGTAGTTACTTTTAGTAACTCAAAATCGATATAAAAAATTTCAAAATATCAACACGCACTTAAACATTGTTCATGCAAAAACTAAAGTTCTCGTTGAAAAAAGTGATTAGCTTTTTTCTTCAAAACTCATAAATTATGAGTATTTCCAAGAAAACATTAAAAAAAATTTAGTATTTTTTCTGTATTTTTAGAAACAAATATTCCTGTTTTACCAATTTTGATTTCAGTGTTTCAAGACCAATATTTTGATACCGATGTTTATATATTTGCATTAAAATAATGATGATCCAAACCCCTTTATTAAAGCCTGAGCTATATTCACAAAAAAACCTTTTAAACTGTCGTCTGAGTAAAATTAACCAATAAGTTTTTTCTTTCCGAAAATTTATCGGGTTTCTCTATAAAAAGAGGACCCTTCTCAGCATTTAACGATTTAACAGATAAAAAAACGATGAAAACATAGTTGCTGAGATAATTAAGGGATTATAGTTAAAGGGAGTGTTCGCGTAAAATGAAAGGGGGTATAGGCTTAATGCGATAAAAAAGCGCTTTTGATCGCTACTAATCTTACTTCTATCTGTTGCGTCTATAAGAAGAAAATTGTTAAAAACGAAGAACGTAGTATCCATACAAATTCAGAAAGATGCAACATACGACTTAGACCGTAAAAAAATCTATTTAATTTCAAACAAATCATCCAGATATTACACCCTATGGTCATCAATTATCTTTCGCCCCATTTGTATATATAGTTGATTTTTCATAATATGTTTTTATTGTTATGATCTGAGAGTTACTTATAAAAACATTTATTACTGTTTCGAGGATTTTTGGTAATGAAGACGACATTTTCATATTTTCCAGGAATGTTCGAAAACAAGTTGGAAGCTAAATGTTATTTTAAAAAAGAAAATCAAAACATATTATGAAAAATCAACTATATACAAATGTGGCGAAAGATAATCGATGACCATAGGGTTTAATATCTGAATGATTTGTTTGAAATTAAATAGATTTTTTTACGGTCTAAGTCGTATGTTGCATCTTTCTGAATTTGTATGGACACTACGTTCTTTGGTATTAGTCGTTTTTAACAATTTTCTCCTTATAGACGCAACCGATAGAAGTAAGGTTAGAAGTGATCAAAAGCGCTTTTTTATCGCATTAAGCCTATACCCCCTTTCATTTTTCGCGAACCTCCCTTTAAAATTACTTCTACGATATCTTTAAACCGGCCCCAAGGTGTGAAGAATGGGTGAGGTAGTGGGGGGGGGGTGTAGACTCTACATATCTCTATTGAATTGTTCCTAAGCTAGCAAAGATAATGATTCCCAATACCAGGAAGAAAACCAGTAACATTAGTTCTTTAGCTGAAGCTCTGGAGGATAATAGATAATGATAATGATAATGATAATGATAGAGCTTTACATTTTATATAAATTATACAAATACAGACACCTGGTCTTAACATTCTTAAAGGGTCTGTCTTTAGCATTAAAGATAAATTTTGGCAACTACACAGAGACCAATTTGATTCTCATAAGTATCAACATTACCCACCGTGAATTAAAGGTCTCACATTCTCAAGCAAAAATCGATGAAAACTTTGCTGAATACTTACAAAAAAACGTATTTGTCACCTCTGTCTAAGTCTACACACAAATTTAGTGAGTTAGTTAGGTAAAACCAAAAGCCAACATTTCAAATTAATGGAATTTTGTAGCAAAATGGCCCAGTGTAAAAAATATCTGTATACAATGGTAACAAGAATAAAGTTATATGATGATAAACCACACAATAACCACAATTATATTTTGCTAATATTTAAAACTAAGAAATCCTTAATCTTACTTTGAAATTAAAATTCAAGACCTTGAAAAATGTTCTGGCAAAGAAAGTATGTAATCAATCGCCTCAATTAATAGTTTTCTAATCTCGATATATCTTTGAAACCTGATGGTGAATTCATAAATAGTTAAAGTTTTAGATTTTAAATGCTTTTATAGATTGAAACATCACAGAGCTAGGTATATCAACATTACGTTGTCAAGATATAATATTTAAAAAATTAGAGTTAGCATATATATAAGCATAACTCAAATTCTTAATTAAATTTTATTTAACTTTGAATTTATTATTTTACATAACTTTTTAAGCTAAAACTTCCGTATTTACTAATAACAGTTTAAAAATTTAAAAACAAAGAATATTTTAATAATCTATTTTCCTGAAAGTCTGAAGTAGGATTTTAAGTCCAGATGAGTGTCTTGTAAGTTTGAAGAGCCTGATCAAATAGAAAAGACATTTTAGACTTTGATAAAACAAATTATCTTTTGTAAAATTTTGAAATCATTTGTTCATCTTTTTGACAGACGAATTAAAAAGGTTTAAGATTTATTTATAGAAAGTTCAAAAACTTAACTTGGAAAAGAATGAATTAAAAACGGAATAAAACATTGTTATGTTTGTACCTAAGTATTCTAATGATTGAGAAGAACTCCAGAACATCAGCGTTCTCTAGATGGGAAGCTAGCTGAGCTAACACCAGATCTATATACTCCAATATCAACAATGCTCTCCAATATCAACAATGTTCTCAAATATCAACAATGTTCTCCATTATCAACAATATACTCCAATATCAACAATATCAACAATGCTCTCCAATATCAACAATGTTCTCCAATATCAACAATATACTCCATTATCAACAATGTACTCCAATATCAACAATGTTCTCCAATATCAACAATATACTCCAATATCAACAATATACTCCAATAATATCAACAATGTTCTCCAATATCAACAATATACTCCAATATCAACAATATACTCCAATATCAACAATATACTCCAATATCAACAATAACAATGTTCTCCATTATCAACAATGTACTCCAATATCAACAATGTACTCCAATATCAACAATGTACTCCAATATCAACAATATGCTCCAATATCAACAATCTTAAATGCTTTTCATTGTTCTTATAGGTTGCAGTTTTTGTCCAAGATATCTAAAAGTTCTTCTTTTTAATGTCAAAATATAAAATTTCTGTCTAAGTTTTGTTCTTCAATTTGTTGCAAAACTTGCTGACACATAGTTTAGTATCTTGCTGACACATAGTTTAGTTGCTGACACATAGTTTAGTATCTTGCTGACACATAGTTTAGTTGCTGACACATAGTTTAGTTGCTGACACATAGTTTAGTTGCTGACACATAGTTTAGTTGCTGACACATAGTTTAGTATATGTTTGAAGTTGATGTTTGATATTTCCTATGTAGAAGCTAAGGGTAGCAATACAGTCTATAATATTGACAGAACTGCGTACGAAATCACATATATCGGGACACGAAATAAATCTAAATCAGCCACAATATAATTTCATTTAAATGTATAAGTTCATTTTATTTAACATTGCTAAAATCAAAGTTGAAAGCAAATTGATGATGTTCTGGATGACAGAACAGAGTTAGAATAAAAAAATAAAGAACATAATAGAGATTAAAAAAAAATATATCATCTTAATATTCTTGATTTTAAGGATACCATTGAGATCAGACATGCCAATCTGTAAATTGAAAACCAATTGAAATATTTTCTACAGTCCTTTTATATAAAAATATCAATATTTAAAAGTTTAATATTTCATTGATAAATTTAGAATCTGAATCTGACATATGTCAATATTTTAGGCATTCAATGTGTCAAAAGTAAAAATATTTCTCCTCAAAGTGAAGATTTTTTCCCTTAGGACATTCTGCAAATTCTTATATTATGTTACTTGTTATTAAAAAAAGTGTTTTTTTGCAATCTCTTTTTTCTTTTTATTATTTCATTTTTAACAACACAAGAAAGTTTTTATTTAAATATTGAAAGAAGTTGTGGGAAAACTTTAAGACAACTTAGACCATACTACAACAAAGGTTACAAAGAAAAATTTTCAAAATCTAAAAAAAGAAATAAATAATCTTTTATTAACATTTGACAAAAAAATTATCTACTGTGGCAGATTAATAATTTGTTGCTACCTCTAGAATCCCTAATTTTTTTTTTTAACAAAATTTTTTTTCAAATTGTTGAAAACTAAATATTTGTAGCTGCCTAATTAGAAGCTCAATTGTGAACCACGCATTACAAACGCACTCCACATAAAAGAAAGCATCATGAGCGTTTGTCCCATATTTATCCAGAGTCCAAGCTGAACCAATCAATTTATTAGAAAAAGCCGTCAAGGATTAGAAAATTTGAGTTTGTGACAAAAATTCAATTTCTTTGTGATATTGAGTATTTTGAAATAGTTGGCAATTGTACTTAATGTTGTGCAATTTATTTTCTAATTTAACGTACCTTAATTTTCTGGAATCCTGTAAAATATGCACAATTTTTATTTTCAAACTCAAGTTTTCATAACCATTTCTTAAATTTAGGACATTTGAATAAATACACGATTTATAAATTTTTCTAGACATTGAAACGAAAATATTGGAAAGATGTTTTATAAAAAGTTGATTTATCAAATGATTGATTAATTAATAGATTGATTGCCTGTTGTATTTTGCGAAGTTCTAACTGTAATATTATGAATAATTGGAACTCTCATATCTGGATGTGTTTTCAGGCAGAAGGTTAGAATAGAGGTACAGATGAAAAACACAGAAACAATACCGACACTCTAAAAATTCATTATATCACACTCCCCTCTCTCAACTGAACTCAAGGCAAAATCATCCCCCATCAATAACCCAGTTAAGATAAGGTTAAGATTTATTCTTTGTTCTTTTAATGATAAATCTATAAAGAAACATAAGGTAAAATTTCAATTGTAAAACATTGTAAAAATGACAAAATCATAAAAGAATAATTTTCATAAATCCTAACCTGTTATTATGACAGTGTTAATGTGTATTATAGTTGTACACATCGTTTATAATTATTTACAACTACTTTACAAGGAAGTTAAAGAAATTTTACTTTACAACTGGTTCCCAAGACGATTTTTTTTTAGACAAAATTGGTAGAGGGATCCCGCGGTTAAGTAATTTTTTAATTTTATCGTCTTCTGAGATGAAAATTTTTTTTCTGAAAATTTCGCAGAGGGGGAATCATAGGTCAAAAGGCGGTAAAATATATGCTTCTTATATATATCTTAAGAAAACAATAAAAAAATAAATAAAATTATCGTTTTACAGATTTACCTTTGCCGTAGGGGATGAATAAGGTTCATCGAATGTACTCCAGATTTTAGGCTTTATTTTCATCCATTTTGAAACAGCACCTAGGAACAAAAGAATGCATCTTTGCTCCCAGAAAAAAATAGATCCAATGTAAATCTCCTAGAGGGATTCTTTGAATCCCGTGTTAAGCTAAAAACTTATTTATGCATCAAGTTTTCTAACACCCCACTGTAAACTAACCAGGAGGAGAAGGTCAAATTCAATTGACACTACTGGTGCTACTTTGTGACATTGCTGCTCCTCTAGTTCTAATTTTACACACAGATGTTAGAAAAGCAATTTTTTTTTCGGTTACATAAAGAAACTAAAAACATTTTTAGTTTTTCTCCATAATTTTTTGTGAAAACATATAAGATTTCAAAGTTTTGTATAGTTTACTTTAGTTTGACGTGACCCATATATATTCTAGTCTAACAAAGACATTTCATTCAAACTTTTGAAGAAACCGTGTACTTGATAAATAAAACAAGAATTTTAATTGTTAAATTCGTTGGAAGACATTTGGTTTTTCTTTGTTATACTAAGATTAGATCTGAAACCAGAAAAGCTAGAGAGGAAAGCCTGGAATTACAAAATTATGAACAACTGTTTAAATCTTAAACAACTTTTAGCCCAAACTTTCTTTTGATGTAAATTGTGTAAAATGTAATTCAGGACAAACATATAAACATAAGATACATTACAATTTTACTTCAAAAATGCATGTTTTAACCCTTTCACGATGGAGGGATCAAATACATGGTCCTTTAGTGTTTTTCCATTCCCTACTGTTTATATTCTTCATAACAGTCCATACTTTTCATTAATTAAGCTGCAGTTCTAAAACTTATTTGTTTGAAAAGCCATTGTAAAATTAATGTGATATCATGTGTCACATGTTAATATTTGTCAAAAGTTTTAAAAAAATATTTTTCGACATTTTTCCGACGCATGTTTTCAACTTTTTAAAAACCCAGTGTACACGTTAGTTGGGTGAACTAGTGCAAGTGGTGGGGTATAATTACGATTCCTCCCATCTTCTAGATCTTTTGTGTGATGTCAACGTATGACATTAAACCGCGGGTTTTTTGTGACGCTAACTTTTTCAAATCTTAAAAACAAATATGCAAAATATTTAAGTTTTTAGCGAAAAATTTGTACGAATTGTTCATATCTTAAAAGAAAATAGTACAGGTATTTTAAGGGGACTGTTGGCATATCTTCAAGTATTCCTCTATTTGTGGAGTATCATGTCAGATTTACAACGGTACCCTTTGCTACTTTACCCCTGGTGTTATATCTGAAAATTAAGTGCTGAACAAGAATACTAGTTAGGGATGTAAGGGATATTTTCCTTTTTATCGTTGTGAAGCTGACATTCATCTAAAAAACTGGAAGGTAATTTAAAGGAAATGTCAGTTTAATTTCAAGTGACAAATTTCGTTTTTCTAGGTACCCTGGTCAAGAGCTTTTCATAAAAATAAATTTTAGATCTGTAGCTCAATTAACAAAAAAGTTATGAACTATTTTTGATTTAACAACCACCTGATATACCCTACTCTTTGCATCCCGAAAAAGAAACTTATTGCTAAAGTTCACAACTATGAAGTTGAAAAAGTGAGGAAGTTTGACCGCTCTAGTGTGTAGGCCATTTTCATAAAGAAAAAAACACAGGGGGGACAGCCCCCCCCCCCCTTTCAATCGTGATATAGTTAAATACTGATAAAATGTCTTACCATTGTAATATGCATCTTCGTAACCAAACCGTTTAGCTAACTCCTCATCACTTGGTTTATCAGTATCTAGATCCAACCGGTCCAGCACAGCCAGGGTCTCTTGTGTGTCTCTGTGCTAAAAATAATAATTTTTTGAAAAGCAAATTAGTCATTTATTTCAAACTTTGTTTTGGAAAAGATTATTCTCCTGGTTGAAAATTCATATTGTTATTTTTTATTTAAGATCACATCTATAAGCCTGAAACCCTTAATATTTAATACAAAACTCTATAGGAAATGTTAATCCAAAAAAATTGTTTCATTTTTAATTGTGCGCATTTTTCGATACTTACAAAGAACAAATAGAATCAAACAAATAGACCGACCGTCCAATCTATAATAGACAATTTAAAGTATAAAATATTTCTATCGATATTAGATTCAATCCCTTTCATTGCGCTGAAACTTTTGATCATTCATGACTTAGGAACATTTTACACCTAGACGTTTTTTTGAAAATAAGTAAACATATCTATATAGAAAGAAGTCATCTCTGGGCCCCTTGACCGATTTGTCTCAAATTTTGATTAGTAAACTCGGTAACTTGCGTGAGACATCTAGCGGACGAACTATTGTCATCAGGGCGGACATTGTCCATGCGTTCGTTAAAAAGGAACGGCCTAAACGGAATGGTCAAACCAATTTTGAGGATATCAGTAATTTTTGTAAAGAAATATTTCCTTACATGGATAGTTTTCTAGCATTCCCTCCTCATGAAGTAGCGATCAAAACCAACTTTGATTCGGATTCTGCCTGTATCCCCTTTTATTTTCACAAACACTTACTTTCAGTGTCATACCACCTCTTTGAAAATTTTGAAACAATGTTGCTTAATTAAACTACCTGAGTATATGTCATCCAGCAGCATGGTTCGACCTGGTTACTATCAAGTCCCCAATACTCAAGCTCCTCTTCGAACAGAGGTCCGCATACATCAGTAGGATAATGTAACTTTCCGGTCCTACGCACATATTGGAGGTTGAATTATATTCAAGTTGCGTTGACAAACTCAAATTTTTGTATACCCTATATCTGTGCAATCTGATGGAGTAAACCTTGATATTAAAGGTCTACAAATTCAGGTTGCAAAGATAACTGGATTTGACAATTATAAATTTGACAAATGATAAATTCTTTATACAAAAAAACTTTACATTTTCAAGCCTAACTCCAGAGGTGCAGAGGAGAAGAAATAAGTTTGAATTTTTAATATGCAAGCAATTGCATTTGCTTTGGAATTAAATTAAAGCTAGAGGAGTTACAAGGGCACAAATGTTTGTCAATAATTTCCTAAAAGTTATAGATTTCAATAGCATTATTCTACAAACCATTGCATGAAATAGTTTTCCGACAGCAAAAGTACCGTCCCAGAAAGGAAGAAACCAAATAGCAGAACTTAGAATTGGTTATTTTTATAAAAGGTTAAAAATTATTATAAATCGCGAAAGTTTATAAAGTGTCCCTTGGAACAGTTACGGGACAGTTTATAAATGATGTCGGAGGAATCATGGCTGGGTGGGTATTGTAGCCATCCAATCCCCCCCTCAAACAGGTATTCTTGTACATCAGGTTGGACTGTTTGTGTGAGATCATCGAACCCAGGGAACAGGATGGTTTGTCTGTATCCCCCCTCCCTCTCCTGGCCAGCCTATAAGTTCTAGGCTACTGCTTAAAGAGAGTAGTTATCCAAGAAGCCTTGCAGAGGAGGGACCAACTCCCTTCTGCTCCTAAAGGAGAGGGTTAGGAGGATAAGGAGTGTATGAATAGAGCCAACCATCACTGGAGTTGTGTTAAATAAACTCCATTCTGCTTTGGAAATGAGGGTTCAGGAGAGTAAGGATGTGGGGCCAGAGTTTAGAGTCTGAGAGTCCAGAGGGTCAGGGTCCAAAAGCCCAGAGTCACGGAGGTTCAGCAGAGCAACCTGATTCTAAAGGGGCCAGAGTCTCGTGCTGAGTGTCCAATGACTTTAAATCTAGAGTCCCAGATCCACTCCTCAAATTCCTCAAGAGAGACTGGAGTCCAGACCAGTCCTATGCTCCCATGTAATTTCTCTATCATTTTCCTTAGGCCAATGCTCTCTCCATTGGGTGGCAGGAGTAGGATTGGTCTGAGTAGAGATGAATAGATCGGCAGTAATCACAAGGAATCGAAAGGGAGAAGATTAACCCGTCATATGAGGCGGAAGAAAGGCATACGGTCTGCCAGAGAGATTCGGCTTTCTTTGATTCATTAGTATCAACCATTATTTGTTCTTTTTTTATAATGTAAATATATTTTTTTCTATACTCTGTAGATTTACTTACATCAGTTTTAGGCTTTATATTTCCTTTATTTTAGACCACTTTTAGATGGTAACAGTATGTTTGCAAACAGGTAATAAAATCTTTCCTTGATTTTTGAATTAGTAAAATATGAATGTCTTTAGTAGTAATTATGACTCGACAGGTTCAAAATAAAAATTATTCATATTTACTAACACACTTTCATAAAAGAAATACACGGTAATCTAATTTTAAAATCCCTCTACGTGTCTCTGCAAAGTAAATGTGAAAACCTTAAATTTAAAACTTTGACTAATCAAATTGAAAATCAGAGTATTGAACCAAAAGGCTGGAGTGCCAGATGCAACGATATAATGATTCAAAAATTGGAATTTTTGACGAGTGTTCAGTTCCTTTTGAATATTCAATCAGTTTGAGATTATTTGTTTTTCTGAAAATCTGAATGTTATGTTGTATATTTCTGATTGATATGATTGGTATAAATATGTTGTACGATGTTATATATACATATATAAATCAAATTACTGAAGAAGTATAATGTAATATAATTCTATGATATCTGATATAGAAAAAAAACAGGAACAACTATATTTTTTGTTACTTTCAAAACAGAGTAAAGGGGAAGGGTATTGGGGCTGAGACACCCCCTCCCACGACGGCTACAGTTCCCACGGAGGGTTTCTGCCAACATTTAACCAAGTTATTCTGCACTTTGAAAATTCATTTTTTTATTCTGTTCGAATGTTTTTTCTTGACCCCAAACTTTCTGTTTTAACCTCAAATTTTCAGATTTACAAAGTTTAAGGTCTCCACTGAAGATCTCAGGGTTTTTCATGAAAATTGGGGTTCAAAAACTAAAAGTTTGGGGTCTCCAATGAAAAGATTGGGGTCTGCGACAAAAAGTTGGGGTTTGAAAATCTGGAGTCTATTAGATCAATAGCTTGGGGTCTCTAGTAAAAATCTTGGGCCTCAGATGAAAATATTGTGGTTTCCTACGAAAATCTTGGGACCTCCAATGAAAATCCGGTAGTCTCCGGGTCTCCGATAAAAATCTGGGGTTCTTTGATGATACATTCATGGGGTCCCCTTGAAAGTAATAGTACTCCAATTGGCCTTTTCAAGAATATTGCAAAACGGAAATTTACAGGCCATAAACACGTAATTCCTGTCGCGAAAATTTATTTAAAATTGCGGCTGTAAACCTAAACAATGTTGAAACTCAGACATAAGAAAACATTAAAAGTTTTGCCCAGTCCGTTTTCAAAGCAATTTTTCTAAAAAAAACCTTTCTAATATTTATGCATATATACATCTAAAAAATGTATATTATGCAAACTAAATTTGTTTTAAAAATGTCAAATCAAAAAACTTTAAATTTAAAAAGTGGCCTTAATTGTCCAGTGTACATATTAGGGCCAGTTGACATAATGGTAAAGGACAAAACTGATTCTTTGGGTGCTGACATGATCAAAATAATTGCTTATGTTCATACATTTTCAATTCTATCTAATTAAAATTTGATATCTTACTGAATCAATATGTTTAATTGAAAAGAATTGAATATACTCTTGAAAATATTTGATTCTTTTAAAAGCTGACTATATTACTTTGTAAAAGAATGTAAATTAGAAAATAAATAAATAGAATTCTTTTAATTGACTTATATAAATTCATTTTTTTTACAGCATATACGCCTTATAATATTAATTTATATTTGTGTGTGAAAATTAATAATTAAATTTTTTTGTAATGTTTATGACCATTTAAAATTCAAAAAGTTTGCCTAAAAATGAGTTAAGTTTTTAGATATTTTAGATCAGCAACAAAACGCTCTTAGAACATACCCAAAAAGAAGCGCCTAAAATAACCAGTTTTTTTTCAAACATACAAAAAGAGCATTGTTATTACCTGTAATAGTTAAGAATCTGAGCGAAAACACCGGGATGTCTAAAACAAAAAGTTTTTTTTAAACAACATGGAATAAGATCATTTCTAAACACATGGTTGAATTTTTAGTCGAAATGGCCTAAATTCTAAACATAGACAACATTTTGAAAACTATTTGGAGATTGAAACTTTTGTTTTGTTAGTTTCTTAAAAATACTTCACTCCAAAGTTCCGACATCGGTTGAAATGTCCTCAGTCAAGTTTACATTAACCCTGGAAGATGAGAAGGCTGGTAGGACTTGGACCAAGGCTTAACATGGATTTTAAAGTTAAAATAACCAAATATTAAAGATTCAAACTTAGTTCTAGAATAAACAAGATTTGGAGAACCAGAGGTTTTTACCCTTTTATGCAAAAAAGAAATTTGGGATTGGAAGCCGCCTATTAAGCAAATCAAAGATTATTCTGTAAAAAAATTTTGATGTTTCAAAATTTAAATTTATATAGAAAACTTATGGGTAATTTCAGGCGCTCGGCCCCCCTGGCCTGTCCTATCCGCAGCGCTCGGCCCTATAACTGTCTTAACCTAACCTAACCCTAAAATAATAAAAATCAAATGTATGATTTTTAATGAAGAAACAGAGCTCGGAGTATTTCTAATAATAGTCTTTTATAAAAGAATGAGAAGAAAGCCAAAACAATGAAATTTTCTTTTCTAACCCATTCAGTGAAGGAAATGGGTATTCAGAACATTATTATTGTTTAAAAAGCAGAGGAGGCTTCATAAAAAGGGGGGGGGATAAAAGAAAAGTTAGAAGGTAGGTGGCTGGGGATTAAAAGGGGGTTTGGGATATTATGGAATTGGGTGAGGGGGATTTAATCTTAAGAATGAGTCTTTTGTTGCTTTTTTTTGTTTTTATTCTAGCTTGGTTGTTTATTCTAACCCAATAAACGTCAACACGATTGATTTTTTTTATGGGAACTCACATGGTTCCGGGTTAATGTCTGGTCAAAATTGGGAAATGAAAAAATGTTGTCTCTTACGATCTTTTTACATCTACCAGTTTTAACAAAAAATATCCCCAAAAACTTTGTTTATTCACTAATATGAAATATTGAATATGCTAATAAGACTGAGTTAAAAGCTAAAATTGTTTCAAGGAAAACGGGTATATTGCGCCCGCACTTAGCATGTCCATTGTCCAGTGTGTATCGAAAAAAACTCAATTTAGCTTGATATGTCATGCAAGAATGAATTAACAACTCGTAAACTATTATAAAATAATAATATTTATAAGGAGTCCGGCAAATTCGAAAGAATGAAAACGAAAATATATATTCTGGGATTGAAAATATGTTTGTCACTAAATAAAGTGGTCCCTGGTCAGCATATATATCAATACAGTGTTGGTATAAATGTATCAGATAAATAATATATGCAAATATATTATGGAGCAAATTATCTCTGTACTATATCACCAGTTCAGTAAACGATTTTGTATTGATATATATGCTGACCACGGTATTAACCCCGGCTATTTAACGTACCGTCGAATCAAAATCTATATTTAATCTTTCAGTAGATGGAGAAATTTTTTTTTTTAACTTTAAAAATATAATTGTTTTAAGATTTATATTTATGTCATGTCTTTGTGGAATATGGAAGAAATTGTTCAAAAAAATAAGTTTTCTCAGAAGTCAATATTAATCTACAAAATGTAGAATAAGGTACAAATTGCATTTAATAGTTTAATGAATGTTACCTATCAAAAAAATATTCATTTAGTATTGGATCATAATTGGCCAAAGCTTCCGTGAGCCTTGACAGTCGGGTTGCTGGGATCTTTTTTAACGTCGTCTTATATGTTTCATGTCTAATCCCGCCACAGTTTAGGATCACGCGATTTTCTGCGTCCATCACGGCTAACTCAGTTTCACGTTGGTTTGTAACTAAATCATTTGACACATTATTTCACTGACTAGTCTCCGGATTCATCATAATTCACTTATTCTTATACTTACCTCATTTTTTCTGAATACAAAATTTAATTCAAGTTTTAACCAATGTAGTGATGAAACAGTTCATTTTAAATAATTAATAAATTTCAAATTTGTTTTAACATGCTAAAGTTACTTTTTAGGTGTTCAAATGCAATAATTGGGTAAGTTTAACAGGAAAATATATAAAACAGGATTTTGTTGAGCTGGATTATCTTCATGTTATAGAATTTATTATATATTTCTTTCATGAAAAGGATTAGAGTCGAAGCTGAAATAAATGCATCTGCCATATTTCTTATAATTACTTTTTACTTTAAGGCCCATCTTGAAAACACAACAATTTTATTTTTGAATAGCTTGGGAAACCAGCGCTGCCAAGGTTACTAAAAGTTACCCCCTCCGTTTGAACGATTTTACTGGGAAAAAATTTTCGCTATTAAAGTCGATCCACTAAATTCAGAATCTCAAAACCAAGCTGCGAACATTTCCGTGGCTCTCCCGAGTTACCTAATTAAAATTTGAGGCAAATCGGTCCTGGGTTTTCTGAGTTATGATCGGACAAACAAATAGACAAACAGAGATTACAACTTGATATGTAAATAAAGAAGAATACAGGAACTGAGTTCTTAATACCAACTCTGATTTTAATTCCTTCATCTTTGAAACCTTCTGCTGTCGTAGAACTTGCATTTTTCAACATTTGAATTATGTTAGATCAAAATGTTAAAAAATGTGAAATTGTTACAAGAACTCAGTTCAGTAAAGTTCGTTTACTAAACATTTTTTTAACTTTTATCATGTTATTAACTTCTTGAAATTATCAAAATGAGATTTTGAGCAAAAATACAAATATTGTACTTTAATGCATTATCTCATAAATTATTAATGAGATTTAATGAAGTAAAATCTTTTTCAATGATTTTGAGAAGACTGTTATACCTTAGTGAAGAATTGATAATTAATCAAGATTTAATTAAAAAGTGAAAAAATTAATTCTTTTTCTTTTAGTTAATATCAACTTTGCTTTTTTTTGCGTATTTTCGTTTCTTTAGAGTACGAAAAAGAAAACCTGGAATACCCATGGTGCCCATTAAATTGGTTTAATTTGATATGGTTCAAACTGTAAAATTGTACATGAATGGGGTGCACACTGCACACTGTGCATGAATGGGGTGTACATCAATTGGGTGTAACTGTATATAACCAAGTGGTATTGATAGCTATCAATATGCTTCATACTAACTAATTCACACCTTTATTCATGTTCGAAAAGATAAAATACTTTTAATTTCTAACTAGTTTCGATCAACCAAAGAGTGCAAAATTGTTGATTCTCAAATTGTGGCTGAAGCGCTCTGGTTCCTTTCAACTCTTTGAATCTATCTGGTAAAGCCGAAAAAAAAATAATAAGACCGAAATCAACTAAAGAAAATTTTCATGTTTAGAAACCATTTCAAATGTATTTCTTTATGCTGATACGGATTGTATTTCTTTTATTTAGTATGTTATAGATAATATTTGATGTATGTTCTACTCTCCGAGGAGTGTTTGACATAATCCATATATTTCTATTCATTGATTTGATTTGACAACACAACCTTACTTCATCACTTACAGAAAACAGATAACAATTTATTCTTTTTGAAGGGACTGTGAGAGTAATTTAAAGTGACCCTCCATACAATTACGTTTAAAGTCCCTTAATAGAAATATAAAATATCAATTTTTTTATCATTATTTTCTAATTAAAGACAAAAAAATATAAACAATAGTTTCTTAAAGCTGAATACGATATCAGCTCTACTTTTTTTGTGAGGAAGGGAGGGGGCGTCTGTATGGTAGCTTTTCAATGGGGGGGGGCGCGTGCATGGCATCTTTATTTAAGAGCGATGGAGCAGGGAAATATGCACCAACAAATGTAAAAATGAAAAAATTTTCTCAATATGTGACATATGTATCTACATCCAATATTCATTTGTCAAGGGCTTTTTGAATTTTTGGTTTACGTCTAAAGTTTGGACACCATGTAAAATAAACATTTTACTCCAGATCTTGGTCAATTTTTATTCCAATAATAAAAGGTCAAATAATATCATAAAAATGTAAAAGCTTTTCATATTTTTATTAGAAATCGTTATTGAAATAAGGCAGACTGGTGATAGGTGTAGGATTTGCTAAAAAAAAGTTATATTCAGACATAAGACGAATAAATATTTTAAAAACATTTATAAACTAATTGTGTCTGTAAAGTAATGTCTACAGGTATGTGTCTATGCCCAATCATAACTCATGAACCCCTTACAGATTGACCTCAAATTTCGATTAGAAAATTTGGTAGAGCCACGGGAATGTTTTTAGCTGGGATTAAAACTTCTAGATTGAGCAGATTGCTTTTCATAAGAAAAACAAGGTGTCGGGCAAAGCTGGGTTCCCAAGCTGGTATTACTGCTTAAGTTTTCAGGGTGTAGAATACTTAAATCCGTTCAGGTGTACTGCAGTGCATACATTATACACACATGTTAGCTAAGTTGTTTTTAACTATTGTCATAATAAATAAATTTATAAATTCTGATAATAAAAACATATGCACTGTAATTATTAAGCAATATGAATATATTTAGGAAACAGAAATAAACCCTTCAACAAAAGAAAGTTAAATTATACTTGGCATTAGCGCGCGCTTCAAAACGATAAAATGTTTTATCTTCACCAAAAACAGGTCTTTTAGTAAGTCTAACTAAATATAAAAAAATTAAAAGGAGCTTTAAAAAGTAATTTCGAGTGAACCTTCATTGATAGAGTTTCACCACGGTAGCCGTAAACGCGTTGTCAAGTATGAATTATGTTATTAAGGATACCGTTGTAAATTGGGAATGGTTTTTTTAAAAATTGATAGTCAGTTAAGATTAAAATGACAGTATATAGTAGTAGTATATAAATATAAAAAAGAATATAATAACGGATAGAAAGAGGGGTTGATTCGTTAATGTGTTCTTGATCATGAACATTAATAAATAATGTAAAAACTTGGATCTATAATTCAGCTCGATTGTATTGTTCAATCTTTCATCATTGTTCTTTCTCATGTTATGTAATGTTTCTACAACTGGCTTAAACTGCCTGACAACTGCAAACCATGAACTGCACTTGAGATAAAAACATTATAAAATTGTCAGAAAAAAAGTTTTTCATGTTTTAGGAGTATAGTTGGCTATGCTGTCTAGCTCCCTACAGTATGAGAGTTCACTGTTTACTGTTCAATTCCGACCTCCTTCCCTCCTCCGTTGGAACCAGTATAGTCGGAGATACATATAATTCACTCTCCCTCCCCCTCCCTCCTCTAACTCCCCCTCACTCAAACCCCGCTAATATTTCCGACTAAGAAACTAAATCTTTATATCGCATGTATACATCTCTGAAAATAGGGGACGTGAGAGGGTCAAGAACAGTTCCCTAAAATATAAATGTGTCCTTTGTATAATATCTAGTCATGTATATTTCTACAATAGAGATATTAAGTACATATGTATTTTGGAAAAAAAAACAATTCTAAATTAATACCGTTTTAGCCACACAGGATGATCCTTTAGAGACGACCTTAGAGGAATTATTCAGTCTTTTTTCTTAAATTGAAGGTTCCCTTCAGTTTTAAACTTTATTTGTCTGAGAGTACAAGAATGCGTCGAAAAATAATCGATGATTATAGTTTGTAAGATCTGAATGATTTCTTTAGAATTAAATGGATTTTTTTACGATCCGAGACGAATATTGTAACTTTGTGAACTTGTATGGACGCTGCGTTCTTCGGTATGAGTTGTATTTAACCATTTTCTCCTGATAGAAGCAACAGATAGATATAACAATAGAAATGGGCAAAGCGAAGTTCCGTTATCGAAAATTAACGGAAGAGTCAGTTAATGAACGGCAAAACCATTAATTTTTAAATCATAAATGAAACGGATTATCCATTTAAAAAAACAATGGTTAAAATTGTTAACTATAAATCTAAAAACGGTAAATTTCGTTATTTTCTGATTAAAAGTACATGACATTTTTTGAAAAATTTAAAAATTTAACGCGTTTTGATGTTTTTAAATGTCGTCTTCTGTGTTTTATAAACCGTTAAGGAATCTTTTTTCGCCGTTTACGCCGTTAGTACTGTAATATAAGTTTAAAAACTGTGCTGTTAACGATTTGTCAACGGTTAATGTACAGTTAATTTTGTAATAACGGTACTATTAAGGGCTAAGGCCGTTAAAGATTAATAAAAAGTTTCCATTAACGCCGTTAATAAAACTGAGATCGTTATCTAACTGTAATAAAAAAGCGGAAAATGACGTTAACGGAACAATCGTTCCGTTATTACCTTTAAAATTAAGGGCTAACTGATATTTTTATTTTGTAACGGTTGGAACTAACCGTTAAAGAAACGGCTAGAAAAAGTTGGAACGTGCCCAGCCCCATATAAGAATAGTAGCAATCACCATCGAATATTTTTGACGTAAGCCTTATAGCCCCTTTCATCTTTCGCTAACACCCTCTGTAAGGTAGTTTCTTTTTATAAATTATTCATAGAGTTATTTTCTTTTAACAACAAATCCAACACATTTTGAATATGAATAGCATGATGCATCCAGAGTCTAAAACTAAAGAATGCGCGAATTTAAGTTCGAGGTTAAAAGTTCTGTAAAATAATGAATAGCTACTTAAATATTAAACTTTCTCAATTTTAAATTTGATTTTCCCGGGAAAAATCTGAACCAATCAGAGAAAAGGATTTACGGAGAATATTAAATAACCATCGCTAATCAGCTGTTCTTACTTAACCGAAAACAAAACATACAACCGTTTTTTGGGTTTACATCCAAAAATTAATTTATCTAAAACGTGAAATTTCTTTAACAAGGTTTTCACTTTTGAATATATCGTTAAGTTGAATGCCGCTTTCTCAGCAGCAGCTGAATGATGATTGAATAATAGACAAAAAGGGAAAATGCAGGATTTCAAGATTTTAAACCTGTGTTTAAATTTTAACTCGTCGATTTCGGCGAGTTAAATATTTTACCACAGGGTTAAATATTTAACCTCACGGTTAAAGTTCAGGTTTAAATTAAGTCAGAAGTGGCATTTAACCATGAACTTAAAATTTAAGTCAAAACTTTTCGTTCTTTAGTTTTGGACTCTGGTAAACAAAAAAAACAAAGAACTTTAAAACACGATTCAGGAATTAACTAAGTTTTTCAATGTATTAGTGTAGTAAATTGTAAAATATGCTTTTGGACACTTTCCATGCTACTAATAGTTATTCTTACGTCTTTATT